AAGAAGTTATGGCAAATTGTGTGAGAGAGTAATGAGGGTTATAGGGGGTAGTAATATTAGTGATGGAGAGGCCACTCTCAATACGGGATAAAATAACGTGGGGTAGAGTTTGGGATGAGTGAGGCGATGATTATTTAATAGCAGGGGTTGGAAGGCTACGGACAGGCAAACTGGCGCACAAGGCGCCCAGGGAGAGATGAGGAACACACTCGCCTGCGTCAGGGACGAGAGTAAAGGTTAGAAATAGAAAATGGAGGAGAAAATAAAAGAGGATGACGACAGCGACGACGATGTTGATGTTGAAGATGAATAGGAAGAGGAAGAGGGGAAGAGGAAGAGGGAGAGGGAGAGAAGAAAAGAAGAGGTTGAGAGGTTGAGAGGGAGGTTTGTGGATGATGATGAGTTGTCAGAGAAAGGAGAGAGAGGAATGACTTGGCACTACTCCATACACAGCAGATATTTATTTACATACAACAACAACAGCATTGACAGAAGAAACATTCTCCACCGCACCACGCTGATGTGTATCTTATTGCTTAAATAGATCTTTGTTTATATTTACCTACGTATTTACTTGCTTTCTCTATTCTGTAGCTATTACAGCTACTTCTCCAAGACCCAAAAACAAGCAGTTGCAAGTAGTTATTCAAAATTGTCTACTCCGTGCCTCCAGTAATTATGCGCTGTTAAACGTATTTAGAATCTGACATCGCACTGCTAAGCCAACTTAAAAGTGATCAAAGAGCCAGCGAGTGAGTGAACAACTAAAAATTCGGAGAAGGCAACTGGAGAAGTGTGCGGAAGCTAGAATGCATTAACACTCGACCAGCAAAGACCACAGGCCCACCCCCTTGTCCCCGCATATCCACTAGATATTTTATCTGGTCTATTCTTGCCCTTGAGGCTGTAAAGCTGCCCTTTTAGCTGTCACTTTTCATTCCTCATCAATCAAATGCTTCGCTCCATTCCGCCAACTGGCCAACTTACTTCTTCCCGCCTGCTACATTCTCAACTAGATGCGGGTCAGGTAGGCGGAGGGTGGGGGAAAAGAAGGCAAATTCGAAACCCAATAGCAACAGTAATATAAATTGACAACAACAACAGCAGCAGCAGCAGCAACAGGGGAACAACGTGGTTGTGCCGTGTGTTACAAAATTGCCATCTATATCGGTGTCCGAGACCTCAGTAATCCAACTTGTTTCGTTAACCGACTGAGCTGGCGTTTTATTTTATTTGCCTACTTGGCTTCGATCACCGCCCTACGCCTATGGAAATGGGCATAGGAACTGTCGAGTCTGCGTGGAAAATTTCACGGAAGTTTGCGGGCTACTGGCTCACTGAAGTGCATCTCGGAAAAGGAAGGGGGTATATGGGAAGGGTCATGAGTGCGTCATACCGAACATGTTAACCAACCATATTTATTATGCGCCGTGGCCAGCTGAAGAAGGGCAAAGAAGAAGACCAACCATCCATGGAGGAATTGGGGGGGGGGGGAGGTAAAAATTTGGATCTTATCAAATCCTACGTTGGATATATCAAGGCCTCTCTGGAGGTTAGATTCTCTGACTGATATAAAATTTCCCATTTGTCAGAGATTCAAAGATGGGTTAATGCAAAGAAAATGCACCAAGGGAAACATTAAAATATTGGACTGGGCTTATCTTATTTTTTTTTTTTTTGTTTACGCATTGCAAAAATACTTCTTGTCAACAACCTATCTCTCACCGACATAAACCACCACCAAGCGGGAATGAAACATAGACCCCCTCAAAACCCTCGCTGTCTCTCTCTCTCTCTCTCTCGCTGTCTCTCTCTCTCTCTCTCTCTCTCTCTCTCTCTCTCTCTCTCCACTTGATCTCCCCTACCAATTCCGTTTATGTCGTCCTGCAGGACTCGGGTGGATGAAAGAGGGTTTAGTCGAGACTCGAGACGGCCAAGGGATGTGTGATGTTCAACTGCAGATCCAAAACTCTGCCACGTCGTTGGTCAGTGCTATTATGGAGTTTGCAAAAGAGTGAACTCAGTTACCTTAGGGCAGATATGCTAGGACGGGAAAGGGAAAGGCAAGGCAAGGCCAGAAATATAATATTTAGATGGATACCCTCTCCCTCTTATCGGGGGTTTCCGACTCATAACAGGGGGAAGTTGGGGTAGAAAGTATTTAGGTTGACCATTCCGCTTGTTCAAGGGCAGTAATTCATTACCTGAATGAATTGGGGTGGGAGGGTTCGTCAGAAATAATACTTCTAGACCGTTTCTAAATAAATATCCGATGAGACGTGTATTATTTTAGTTCCCCCCCCCCCCCCCCCCCAACGATCCCTTCCTTTCGTCTCTCTCCTCTCCAAAGCGACCAGCAAAAAGGAAGGGGGTAAAAATAAAAAATAAAAATAAAAATAAAAAGGGAAAAACAAAAAGAAAAAGAGAAATAATAAACGCAGAAATTCTGCAAGCTGCAAAATAAAAGCAGAGAGTCCGACTCAGAACCTCACCTCGAGCCTCGAAGAGGGATGGAGGGGTCAGAAATGGCTGGATGGTTAATGAAATGCAGGTCTGCCGTCGAATCACAGACGAGCACGGCGGAACACTAGGTTGCTTGCTTCGACGATGATGAGCTGGCACTGCATGCATTTAATGCATTTGCTGGACACCCTTGCATCATTTGCATGTGGTTTCTCTGTCCGCCCATTGGGCTCCAGACCTAATTCATTTGGTTTATTAAAAGTTGGGTTAAGTTTTGACGGAGGATTGATGGATTTTCTCTCCCGGGCTGCTGGGCTGTCTGGCTGGGGATAAGAGAGGATATAGTTGGTAGTTTTTAATGCCTAACGACATCTTTTATATTTAATTCTGCTCTTGCACTAAGGGATGTCCTTTCGAAGGACGGAATATGTTGAATATTCGCAACAGCAGCGAATGGAAATTCGATAAAAAGAAGATAATTTTTTTAATCCAAGAAAAAGATGGATGTATCATTCATGCATGCATGCCAGCTGGATATACTTACGGTCTCTCTGTTCTCCAGCACTAACTAACGGGAGCCCGCAAACCTCAGCTGGGTCGAGTCTCGAAAAAACATCACCCAGATCTAACGCCCTACCAGTGAGCGGAGTGGGACAGACAGAAACAGAAGCAGAGACAGAACCACAGCCACTGACGAAGAACAACACATCCACCAAGCAGCCAGCTCAAACACGGAACAAGGGCAGTGAGTCAGCCAGCCAGCTCGAATGGTCATGTTTATCGCCTTCAGACTATCTTTCTCGCCCCATTCTCACGTGTCATCCGCACTCTCACCAGCCGTATTGGTTGGAGAGTGGCCGATGAGATATTAGCATCTCCACTATAACTATCCATCGCAGCTGAACTCAGCAGGACTGGGTATTGTTGTTGAGGAGTTTTTATTTCATGCTGCTGTTGTTGTTGTTGTTGCTGTTGCTGCTGCTGCTGCTGTCCTCCCCTCCTCACTGCTGCTCGATCTAATCAACTCCATCTTCGCTGTGTTTTGGTCGGTGAAAGTGGATCCCAGTTCCCAGTTCCCAGTTCCCAGTTCCCAGTTCCAGTTGCAGTTGTCCGCTCTCCTGCATCGCTGGCTTCTTGTTTTCTCTTGATTATCTTCGGTGTTGTTTGAGGAACGTGACTTGTGGCAATCAAGGCAAATGAAGATAGCTGCATGGCATGGCAACATACAGCATTGACTTGCTGGTCTTGATCTCGTGGCTCTTTTGATTTTCCAACGGAAACATCATTTATTAGGATTTCTTTATGTTTTTCTCTATCCAATATATCAGCCAGAGACTGGGGAACATGTGGCAAAAGGATGAATAGTTGGGGTGCTCTACGGACACCCCTGGTGATTTTTCAATTCATGAGTGCCCATATCTCTTCCGGATTTCTCTGATGGCTGCAGATTGCATGTATCAGCATGGGTAACAAGGCTTGCAATGATGCGCCTTTCACCTCGAAGACATGTACGCTAGTTAACTCATTCCAAGAGATTTTCTACAGACCTACAACCCAGTTAACCAGCTATGCAGCTGCTCTTTGCCCCTAGTCTATTCCCAGTACGGAGTAATTAGGAACAAAATTGACCAAGCATCATGATCTGGTATTCAGCTCTATACCCACATATGAGTACCGTCTACAGTCTCTCTTCCAAATTTTCCATGGCTCTATTACTATGACATGCCGCTTCTCTTTCTCTCTCTTCTTCCTCTCTCTTCCTCCTCGATCGCGGCCAGCTTCTTTCTCCCCCCAGCGGGAACCCGCTTCAGGAAGAAGCTGCACACACAAACACCGCCCTGTCTTGCTCTTTCCAACGACCCAGTTTGTTTGCTGTCTATATGCGCAGTATGCATCATTCTTCCTATTCGCAGCAGAGAGATCACGGAACGCAAGAAGAACTGTATATTCGCTGTTCGAATATCCGCCATCCTCTAATACCTAGGGTGGCTTTGATTCGACGCCTCATGTTCGAGCGCTGATATCAAGACAGCCACTGTGTACCGTGAAAACAGATTCGTCTATTTGCCCCCCTTGCTCCTTGTTTCTCATTTACTGGGTGTATGCTTGTCCTCTACAGATATCCAGAAGGGGGCTACCAAACAAAAACAATAATGTCAACCATACCGGGTTCTGCACAATCCCTTTTCTCCACCACCTCCAATGCCCTCCTAAAAACTGACGTGATCCTCAAAAGAATCTTATTGATTTTTCGAATGAATTCACCAATCAGCACTTTCTTCCCATGTCTCCTTGTATGCAAGAAGTGGTATTCATTTGCCATAACGCTGTTGCATACCATTGTGGTTCTGAGGAATCGCAGCCTTTCTCTGTTCCTGAGTAACTCAAGGCTGCCAATGAGCTTAAAGAAACCATGTGATATACAGTCCTTGACCTTGCTGCTGAATATAACGTCAGTTGACCCGTTCTCCACTGCTCGCGGCTGCCAGGGCCTGGATTGTTTATTGAGAGATCTATCCAAAATCATCCCCGGAAATATGAAGATGCTTCACACATTTTCTCTGCGGATCAATCATGAGCCACTGGCACTTATCAACCCTGAGAATTCTGATGTTAATGACGATACGGATGTTGATAGAATTAGAGCTGAACCTGGTTTCTCCGCTTTTGTTCTAATATCACTCTTAGCATCTCTGCCAGAAACATGCACCAATCTCGAAATTGACACCTCAGGTTTTGAAGTTTACAGTAGTGGCGATCACTTATGTCCGCATATAGCAAAGCTGCTGCCAAACCTCACCCACCTGCGCTTACGCATCCGCCAATTGTGTTCTGGGCTCATAAACCTGTCATCCCAAAGCTCCTGTCCCCAATATCCAGGAGTGTTGCAGCCCGCTCTATGCCCAAAACTTCGCTCATTGATTATTAATATGGAGCTCTCCAGCGTTCTCCAAGGGGGAATGTCACGCTGTCCCCTTCCACCAGCGCCATCCCCATCACGTTCAACTGGAAAGGAAATCCACACTGAAACGGACCTGCAAACAGATCTCTCCCTCCAGTTACTTGTCTGTCTCAAGAGAAAAAATTACTTCCCGGTCTGTGAGAGGATGGAAATCAACAACCCTATCTACTTGGGTGTCCCGCCGTGGCACCACATTCGCCAAACAGACATCAAGAATTGTAAGACGAACATTTCATCGTTCATCCCGCTCCCTAGCTACATTGAAGGTGTCTGGAAACGTGGAACACACCGCTGCTTTCCGCCCGCATTAGGAACGGCAAGGGCAAAAACAGGAGCAGCAGATAGCATAATTATATCACCATGGTCCTCCCATACCCGCGAACACACGGATAATGCTTGGTTGTCTACATCTGAGGGAGCAAGTTTTCCCAACACTACAGATCACCACATGCTCTCCGTGTTCGATGCGAACGACTACCACATGCTCCGCGTGGATGACGAGGATCGGAAGAAGTATCCCTACCACTGCTCGCTTGCAGCGTATACCAAGGAGATGACATCGCGGTGGAAAAATGAGACCAGGAGAACGGCAGAGTCTCATCCTATATACCGGGAACTCTGTGAAGTGGATGTATCGGATCTCATGGCGCAGACATATCACACTCTTCGTCTAATTCCGTGTGAACGGTTTACGTTTCCGGAGCCATTGCCAGAACAGTGGTATAATGAGAGGACGCGGTTCTCGCTTGGATATTAGGTAGGACCTTTGGGGGTGGGGTTGGAAGTGTTTTTGAATTAATTGGGATGAAGCGGTATTCTTTTCTATGTGTTTTGTAAAGATATATGGGATAGATATAGATATTGAAATATATATAATACTGTAGTGTTGGTTATTGAAGTGAGAAGGGCTCTCTGAATTTGTTTTGGAATGCCCAAATCCAAGGGAAGGGTTGGATGAGGATAGGGTTGATGGAATATTGACTATTTGTACTCTAACTACACCTGGTTAGCTATGGATAATTCCTGTATAGAATACTCCCCAAATCACACCTTTTTCAATAGTAAAGCTTGCCGTCCATAAGTCCTTATCCATCTATATATGTCATTTGGAGCGTGGGGAGTTTGGTGCCGAAGTAAAGAAATATCTGTGCGTTAAACGCTTCAAGTAGGTAGGTAGCCTCATGGCTGAATATGATGCCATGTGTGAAGGAGGATGAAGAGACGAGTGAGTAAGTGGCCGATGAATGTAGTGAAAAGAAACGGTACAGTCATCCATGTACCTACATACAAGAGAAAACCATGCTCTATGTAATTATGTGCAAGAAATGAAGGACCGGCTATAATAACAAAACAATCTTTATGTAAATACGACGAACATAAACATCCATTTTCATCATTTTCATTTTCATTCCTCTTTATCTCAACCAGAGGAAGGGGGTGGCGGTAGTGTTTCCCCGCTCATATCAAAACCCACTTCTTATCAGCCTCCTTTTCGCCGAGTCTCTTTGCCGTGGAGCTAAGCGTGTCTTTGATGATGTCTTTGGAAACTTTGGGGAATCTGAGTAATGTCGTTAGTTCAAAGGGTCCTTCCAAGATACAGCTGACTGATCGGTGGTGAAACATACCTTTTCTTCAACACCTCCACTAATCCCGCTTTCGTTAAATTACTGCCTGCAATGACTTCCCTGAATTCCGCTACCTGATCCGGTGGAAAGGGACGGCGTGGTTTATGCGATGGTGGTGCGCCAGGGAGAGTGGATTGGCCCGGAGGAAATGTCGTTGCTGATGTCGTTGAGGAGGCTGAGGCTGAAGAAGGGATAATGGGTACCTGAAGAAGTCCGGAGGATTGGGAGATTTGTTTTTGAGAAGAGCTTGCGCTGACACCAGCTCGTTCAATGGATTGATTGGAGAGGTGTGTTAGGTGCTTCAATGGGGAGCGGGATGGTGGTGCAGGTTTATTCCAATACTCAGAAGAAAAGGGATCGATGGGGAAATTTAAAGTATCTATTTCAGTTAGAAGGAAAAAAAAAAACAAAAAAAAAAAACCCACTTGTCAATTTGGGCTTTGGAGAGCGTGTGGAAATCGTTGAAAGCTTACCTGATAGAATCTCCATTCGACATGATTTCAATATCTGGTCAACTTCCCCATCGTTCTCCCAGCATATCCCGGTGCACACTGGCTCTAAATCTCCGATAATAACCCGTCGTTTCGCATTCGCAGCATCATCATCACCATCGTCTAAGAAATCCTCCATATCTCCGTCGCCATCATCACTAACTTCCTCTTCCCCTTCCGAGTCCAAGTCCTCACCTTCCTCAGGTTCCTCCCATTCAGCTTCTGAATCATAGTCATAATTAAAATCCGGAACAACTCGTCCAAATGGATTCCGACACAGCCTCTTAGCCTCCTGTTCAGATAGTTGTTTTGTAAAAGTGCCTTGATATGGAGGCCTCACATCTTCTCCGAACTTCAAAATTTTCATTGGAATCTTCTTCAACAGATCCGCCGGGTTTCGAGATTTCCCATCTCCTGTTAATTCAATGGTATTCAAAGCAGAATCTTGCATTTTAATAAGTATCTGACGCACGGGAGGGTAATTTTGCCTGCCTTGCCGTCGTTTATAGGGTATCATGTTGAAAATTTCTGAGGGGCAATATTTAAGGGCTGGTGTCTCTTCTTCTTCTTCAGACAATCTATTGTTCTTAAATGCAGCATCGATAGTCTCACACGCGTGTTTCATGGAATCGTAGTCTCGGTCGAAACGATGTAATGGAGCCAAATTCACATGAGACTGCAAGAAAAACGGAGGGAACTCCTGTTCATAGTCTGAAAGGGGTTTCTTTTCCGCCTTCGCCGTCTCCGGACCGCCGGTTGGACCTTGAACGTTGTAATTTCCCATGGTCTTTCCGCAAGAGGTATTTCCAGCCGTTGCAGAGCTGGGTGTCGCAGGCTTCACAAAAAATGCATTCAATCGCATTTGCGACTTAAACCAGAGGCGTCAGCAAGTAAATAGAAAAGCGAGAAAAGCAGAAAGCCCTTTGCTTAACCAAAAGGGGATTTCGGAAAACCAAGTAACAAAAACTCACCCTTTCCTTCTTCGTCTTCTCCTCATCCTTCTTCCTCTTCTCCTCCTCCCTGGCTAACCGCTCTTCATCCTTCGTTCTTTTCTTTTCCTCCTTTTTCTTCCGCTCCTCCTCCTTTTCCTCTTCCTTCTTCTTCCGTTCTTCCTCCCGCCTCTTCTTCTCTTCCTCCTTCTTTGCCTTCTCCTCTGCCCTCCGCCGTTCCTTGGCCTCCTTCTCCTGTGCCTTTGCCAGCTTTGTGGCAGGGGACAGCTTTCGTTTTTTATTATTCGGAACAGATGGAGATGGAACGGGTGGTGAGCTTTGGCTATGTCTATAGTTATTAGGTGGGGCAATTGGCGACAGTATAACAGAATTGGGAGAACAATTGGTACTTGTGGGAGGTTGGAGATCAGAAGTGTTGGAAGACGAAGTACTGATGGCTGTAGGAACGATAGGTAGGGGGATGTCTGGATTTTCCACGGAGGAAAGTATGTTCTCTGATTTGACATCCGTAGTAGCAGTAGTAGTAGTCAACAGTTGAACACTACCATTTGGCACCACCACGTGTGATTCGAATCTTCCATTGTTTGTACGAACAGTCTGCACATCACCATCCACCTCATTGAAAGCCCTCTTTCGTGATGATGTTGATTGGTTGGCAGAGCCCAGCTGTGATTTCACCTCCATGTTTATATTCAGCAAATAGAGTACAATTTCTCACGCTCTCTAGACTTATATGAGTGAACGGCGGCAAAGGCGAGGGAGTGTTGTAATCAAATTTATAACCTGGGAGATGATGAATGACAGAAAAGACTGAGCTGCTCCTCCAAGTTAATCAAGAAACACCCAAGTTCAAACCCGATCAAGAAAATTAAGAAAGCTGCAGCAATGAGAGACTTTGCTTTCTCTGCTGTTCATGAAACAACCCTGATTGGTTTGCTGTAGTAAGGGTTGTGGTTCAGGAAATTGAAGAGATTAGATGACTGACGGGGTTGAGGCTGAAATTAGAGTCGCGGTCTCTTTAATCCCGATAAAATGAACCCGTCTTTTTCGCGTCAAATTGGCGGCAGTCACGTGTTCACGTGATATCAGCACTTAAAATTTGTCTCCACCTCCAGATTCGGTGTCTCAGCTACTAATTGATATAGGAACGGGGGACACGAGGGACAGGAGGGACAGAAGAGAAAGGTTGGACTTTGATACGCATTCACCATTGCTTAGAATTACTGGTCCGATATCTTTATCGGCTGAGGGCGCTAGAGCTACCTCTTTACGCAGAGCAAGGAAACGCAACAAGTGCACAAGACGAAAATGTGCTAATTAATCTATTTCAAGACAGCCCATATCCTTGGATAAAAGCAGATATTGATACTCGCAAGAAGCGCTCCATAGTGCAGTGAAGGTTGAATATCGGGCTTTCAGTGTCGGAAATACAGAAAAGGAGAATAGAAGATGTTGTTTTTTCATCCTGCAACGTTTCTGGGTATATATTTATATTGGGACAGTGCTATATTTTTGAAGAGGGGGGAGGGGAGGAAAATGGGGAACAGGGGATAATTAAGGGTAAGAAATATCTGTTCACAGAGCGAAAGGGATCTCCTTCGTAATATTGGAAAAGGTGGTAGCTTTGCACTATAGCTGCTTGTTAATGGGGGATATAGAAGAATTGAGAAGATATTGGCAAGTAACAAAAAGAAAAGAAAGTAAGTAAAAGGCCACCGCTAAGGGTTAAAACGTGAATTCCTTACTCCGTCTCTTTTTCTGGACCGCAGTGTATCTAGGAAGTCATGGGCATATGTGCAATATAAGTATAACCGCATAACCCTATTCCACGGGATTTGGGGTTTAAAAATGGAGTTACAGTGTATAGTCTGACTTGGTCAAGTAAAAAGGATAGTAACTAACTCCCAGCTCCTCATTGCAACTCCAATTACACATTCGTAGCTTAAAACACAAAAGAGGAAAGGAAAGAGAAGGAAAGAAAGAACAAATTTAAGCACAGAAAATTGAAAGAGTTTCTGGATCCCAACCCCAATGGCCCCGGCCCCCAATCCTTCCCTCAGTCACTCAAGTCCGGATTGGCAACAAAAAGCCTGACACTACTCATACTGGTAGATCGATCATCCACGCTACCCCTACGCCTAAGGTCATCTGTCTTCTTCACTCGGTTCGCAGCGTAAACTGCTCCACTCGGTGCTGCCATCTCTGTAACTGTGCCGAAGTCTTCTTCTTCGCTACCGTAGCTCTGTAGAGTACCGGGGTAGTCGAGTTTGTTGGTGGTGGTGTCTGAATTCGCCGTTTCCGGATCTGACGTGGTCGTTGTCATCGTCGGGCTACCATTCACATTGTTGGCGTTAACGTTGGCATTGGCATTAACGTTATTATTATCGTTGGTGGCGGCCGTCGGCACAGCAAAGTAATCCTTCTCACCCTCCGGTTTCAAAGGCGCAGGAGTTTCCACAAGTTCAGGAATATCAGTCTGTCGATCTGCAACATCCGAATTAGGCGGCGTGTTACCATTGCTACTGGTACTGAACCGACCCTGCTGCGGCCGCTGATACCCGCTGGGGAAAAAACGATTGCTCCCCGTGGAACTGCGCCCGCTGTCTGTTCTACGGTGGAAAACAGGCCTGTCGTTTTCCATGTCATCCTCCCCGTCGCCAATCTCATTCGCACTCAATCGGAGAGGTACACCAGCGCCAACCAGAGTTGCCGTGTTGTAACCCATCGTGCGCGAGGATGTATTGTGCCTTATCTTCCCAGTGCTTCCAAGGGTAGCGCTCCGACCGCCCCCTCCATGAACTTCCAGTGCTGCCCTTTGCTTTGCGGCTCGTCTCTGGGCGACTACGCGAGGGTCTTGTGTTTGCGCACGGTCGCACCATACAGTAGCTTTCTGCTTGCGCATGAGCGCAACGTAACCTAGCGGGGTGTTGGTGGAGCGTGATGAGGAGCTTCGTCGGATATCGACCTGGGTGCCAGGGTGTCCGTGAGGCTGATGTCCCTTGCCTCCGGTCGACGTTGTAGAACTTGTCGCAGTCGAGGACCGTCGCATGGGGAGAGAAGGGTTCATGCGTTGCTGGTGTTGCTGCTGATACTGCTGATGTTGGGAAAGTTGTTGCTGTTGCCGATGTTGGGGTAGTTGAGGAGGGTAAGGGGGGGCCATCTGCCTTTGCGGGCTCATATGGTTTGGAGGATATGAGGAAACGACTTGGGCCCGATTTTGATGTGCTTGCGGTCTCACTGCCTGCTGGGGAGGATGCTGTGAGGCCGGAGAGCCTGTGGAATGAAATTGTAGGCCGGCATTGCCGGAAGGGAGCGCTTTGCGATGCGGATTCTGCAGCGTCGGAGAACGGTAGTCGGCCATTTTATTTATAGATAAAATTTTTCTCTTTTTGCTTCAGACGTTATTTTGACCCAATCAATTCCACATGTAGTTTCCAGTGGAGATTGCTTTGTAGTGATAAGGGAATCAGAGAAGCAGTGGACAAAATCTGCGCACTGCACAAAGTGTGAGCTCTCTGCAATACTCCTGGTATGGTTGACGGTTGAAATGCCGGGGGGGTGTTGAAGTTGATACCTGTGCTGGTGGCAAAAACATAAACACTATTTGAGTGATTGTTTTGTTCTGCTTTGTTGCAACCAGAACAAAACACAATGATGCATCATTAAATGCACAACATGGGGGAAACCCCAATATACTTTAATACGCACCTAAAATCAAGCAACTCACGACTTGTTTTGTCCTCTCTCGATGGCACTCTCAGCGAGTTCCTGTCAAGTAGATAGTTGGGGAGTTGTTGGTGCAGAGACAGACGGATAAATAGCCGCAGAAAGACTCCGCCAGCCTGCCAGACAGTGTACCAAATGCGACCAGGAGCAGAGAACTTGGCAAGCGAAGTAAGAAAACTAAAATCATCTAGTTATATATTCGAACTGCTTCTAGAATGGATGATATCTTTTATACATTTCTTATTTAACTAACTGGTTCAGTTACCTGGGTTAGTTATATATAAATCTCAGTCACATGCTAAAGCCCCAGCTCAACAATTTCAATTTCGCCTTCTACAGAAGGAGAATGTCCTAGTTCAATGAATTTTCTTATACTGTGACTTGACTGTAGCTGTCACTGGATTGATGAAATAAATGTCGCTGTAGGAACAAGTTGAGAGTTTCAGTTGTAATTGGCCGAAGGATCAACGATGGGGGGGTCTTGATGTTGAATAGGGATTGCATCAAAATCAGGTATTTTCCACGCTGATTTTGCTGGGGGAGTGACCTGTTAGTGGACCGATCGCAAAGAGTATTATTATTATTTCTCCTGATTGCTGGCTGCTGAGAACTATCTTGATGTCACACAACACAGGGTTCACAAGTTAATTAATTCATCATGATTATTCCTATTAACTAAATAAGATTCTCGATCGATGCCCGTGGAAGAATCCCAGCACATTATTTATCCCAACAACGCATACGGAACAACATAAATATACATCAAAACTAAATTCAGTGCCTCCTCGCTCTCTCGAGCCTGATCGAGCAAGGCCTGGAATCAGCCCGTGAACAAGCCATGAGAAAAGCTCCAATTGAAACTCCATGCATCCTATCTTCGCATGCAAGAGTCCCATTTGTGAGTGGTCGGAGCCGATAACTGCTTATGATGCCAATGACGCTCCCTGCACCCGTAGCCCTACAACCACTCGGACATTGTTCTGATAGCCACAAGACAGATTTGACCTCCGCGTATGGGAGGGTAGATTAGAATCGAACCCGAGCACGGGACCCTGAGTCAGAGTCGACATGACCGCTGGCGGGGGTATCCCTTGATCAACTTCATGTCGCATCGGTGGGCAATGAACGAGGCTGCAAAATGACGAGCGGCTTAGCCAGTGACCACCCCACGCCGGGAAAAGACAAGATAACTAATTGAGAACGGCGAAACAATTGGAGATGGGCTTCTCTGGCCCTGTTTGAAAACTCTCAATAGGACGTGGAATCCTTGCTTCCATGTGCAAGAAAAGTCCCAATAAAGGGGAGATCTTGTTTTTGGGCAACTTGGTTCGTCATTTAAAACTAAACTCCCCACCTTTATCGATAGTTAGTTGTCGTCGATCCGTGTGCCTTTCGTCAGGTTCGAGACGGGTATTTTTGCTCATACACGGACGACATTAACTGGCTAGCTGCCAACTCACCTAAACAACACCCTTGGAGAGCTGAGGAGACAAAACCTTCTCCTTGAAGGCTAAAGTCTGTCAAATACTTCTTGCATCACAGGTTCCCAACAAAGAATTCCCGGGATATTTAGTTTTCTTTGGTGCAAGTTGCGTAAATTAGCGGCCTTCCCCCAGATGACAACTTGTGTATTTATTTCTTCTACAACCCAAGTCGGACAACCAAGGGTTAAAACTTAACAGAACATTTTTGTATCTCTCTTTCTTTCTCCTCTTTTTTTTTTTTTTTTTTTTTTTTTTTTTTTTTGAATGAAACAACTGCGAATGAGAAACATGAGAATAGCAAGCTTAATCTGAAGTTTAAAAAGTCTCGCGGTTGGGGCTTTTCACCCACCCCGCAAACTTAATTTAAATGACAGCAGGGGTTCAGGGGTCAGTAATGTGGCAAAAGGAGAAAAGGACGCTCAGTTATCAACAACCCTATCTAGCTGAACGGTAAATCAGTTGATGTGACTTGTCAAGTCGCCCCATCGCAAGAGTCGGTTTGCGATTGCTGGGGAGTTTGACCCCCTTTCCCGGCAGAAGAATATAACTACCTTGAATTTGATCAGACTAGATGAAACAGGCACAAGTGTAAATTCAACCAATATCTGCTGCATCAGCAAACAATATCACAGGCATCCAAATTTGACAAATTACATGAACTGTGGTAGAAACAATTCGGACTCTTATCTAATCCCGGGTAAAAGATAATATAAAGGATACAATTTTCTGCTTCGACTCGGAAAGAGTACGGGGGAAGGGTTAATAGGGTTCATTATCAGAAGAATATCAATCACCGACATCAAAGCTAGAATATATATATACAAATGCAATGGAGATTCCCAAATAAATAAAATTTGGCATTCTTCCAACAGAATATATCCGGTATATCGAAGAGTTCTTTATAACAACCATTGAACAAATAAAAATCCCTACAGCTTCGCACCCCCAACCTTCACCAATGCCCCATTCTTAACATCAAACTCCTTCCCCCTAGCCCACCCCAGCCAACTCGCCAAAGTCTCTTCCCCACCTTGACTCGGCCTAAGTCCCTCACTCGACCAACCCCCCTCCTCACTCCCATACGATATACCCGGCGTCTCCGACAACCCCACCGCCAACCTTTGCTCATACCCGCCCTCCTCCAGCTCCCAATTCTCCAGCACGGGCGTAGCACACGCATCCGTCCCATCAAAGATATCCTCCCACTCCTTGCGCGTCTTCTCCTTGAATCTCTGCGTAAACACCCCGCGCATATACGGCCACGTCCTAGGATCCTCGCGACTCCCACTGGAGCCTGCAGACATGATATCCTGCTTGCTCAAACCCAAACCCTTCAACAGGGCATCAAAGAACTGCGGCTCCAAGGCACCAACGGCAAAGTACTTGCCTGCATCCTTCGTCTCATAGGTGCCGTAGTAAGGGCATCCGCCATCAAGCACATTGCAACCACGCGGGCCCGCCCATATGGGTTTCTTCTGCGACAACCTCGGCATAGTAGCCAGGTATGCAGAGCCATCGACCATATTCGCCTGGACAACCTGTCCCTTGCCCGTGCGTTCGCGCGCCAGCAACGCAAGTAGAATACCAAGGAAGCACATAGCTCCTCCACCGCCAAAGTCACCAATGATATTACCGGGGGCGTAGGGTGGTTCGCCCGCACGACCCAGCATGCCCAACACGCCCGAGACGGCGATATAGTTGATGTCATGGCCGGCCATGTCTTTGTATTTGCCATCGCGGCGGAAGCCGGTCATGCGGGCGACGATGAGGCGGGGGTTTTTCTTGAGGAGAACATCAGTCGGGGAGAGGCCTAGTTTCTCGAGAACGCCGGGGCGGAATGGGTCGATGAGAACGTCTGCGTGGGGGAGTAGAGAGAGGAGAACGGCGCTGGAGGCGGGGGATTTGAGGTCGAGGCTTATGGAGGTTTTGTGGCGGGTTAGGGTATCGGAGGTCTGAGGGGGGAGGGTGCTGGAAGTGGAATGTGCTTGTGGGTGTGGGCGGTCGATGCGAAGGACGGAGGCGCCGTAATCGGCTAGAAGGAGGCCGGCAAAGGGGCCTGTTCGGGATGTTATGAGTTTGACCACGATCGTGAATAATTGGATGGGGGATGAGATTGGGAAGTGCTTAATTTCCCAATTGGGCTTCAGCGGATCGAATTTGTTGATATAAGCATTCCTATCTTACCTGGAGCTAGACCAGCGAGTTCAAGGACTCGGATACCTTTGAGAGGTGGTGATGCGGTTGATGACATTTTATTGTGGTGGCCTTATCAGGTGAAACCAATTTTTTGGTATAGTGAGGGAGGATGTCAACAAGGACTATTCAACGGATTCAGACAATAGATTAATATACGCAGTAGCTCCAGTTCGATATACATGTGCCTTTGCAAAAAGCTCGGTCCAAGGCTTTGGGTAAAGCGTAGCCGAGGTGAGGACGGGCTGAGGGAGTGGAGACATCACATGATGTCCGCGGACGGCGTGAAGCAGGGAGAGAAGGTGGAAGATAGTTAAAAAAGCTACCTATACATCCTCTCTTGCGAACTGATCCACCTCAACGCCGACTGAGATGCATCTTTACTCCAGTGGAAATCGGGATTAGCTTCAAACTTACCCGATTTGGGGAGTTCGGGGTTCCATCTGATTACCTAACCCTGACAGGTCAAAATAAGCTATGTATTGCTAACTATATATGGTTAGTGTAAACAGTTTAGAGTTATGTGTCGTCTTTCTCGGCAAACTATAAATCAACATGCTAGACCAAATTAAGTTAGCACTTGGAGGCTCTCATCCGAACTATGAAGCTCTAGCTTATTCTCGCTTTTTTTTAATGCTCCGAACGGAGGAGAGTTTCCTTTTCCTCTCTTTCATCACTTCTATCTGGATCCTCATGACTCCAATTTTATCCCCATTTCATTAGTCATTAGCTTCTCATGTTGTCTATTCATAAGCTGCAATGACATTACATGGGTGGGGAGTAGACGATGTGATCAGCTAATGGCTAATGCAATGAATGATGATATAGACATGGACAGAATAGGTCGAATTAGTAGCTTACTCGCTAAAGGACATAATGAAAGAGATATCACGTTCCAGGCGAAGCCAGCAGAAGCTAGCTTGTCGCTCTTCTAGCTCATTGTTATCCGCAAATAGCAGTGATGCAGGTTTTATAATATTCGCTGGCATTTGGATGCACGGTGTCTGTGATTTTATATGTCGAGATGCAGTGAGGAATTGCTAACCTTCAGCTATTTTTCAGTCAGAAAAATTTATTATCGTTGGAATGACATGCAATTGCCTGTCACGAGATTCCTAGTTGTAGAGCCCATACGTAAGCACGAGGAAATCAAGTGACACGGACAGCTTATCCATGGATGCAACTACCTGGCACACCTGAGAAGGTATAGAACAGCGAAAGAACAGAATTCATAGTGTTATTCGATCCAGCACCATCGACCCGTCGTCCAGCTAGATCAAAGGCAAACGCCCCACCCTAAATATATGCAGCCAACTTCAAAACCATTCTCCCTGAAGAAAGCAGACCAAAACGCCGTGTCTCACCCAGATATCAAGAACTAATCGCATGCACTCCCAAAGCAAAACATGTCAAGAAGAACAATTCAAAACCAAAAACGAATGACAAACGTTTAGTCAACAAGAATCAAAACAGAAATTCTTATTCCAATCATACATTCTACTGCCTACTCATCCCGTATCCTCCCCCCTTTCCTCTCCACATATTTATACCTGTAGGCCTGCGGTGGCTTATTCTCCTTCCCCGGTCCCGCCGCCTTCCCATCATTACCGGCACCATCATTGCTCGCACCCCCAACCTCCTTCTCCCCCCACGTCCACATCAAAACCTTTCCCATGCGCTCCTGATCTTTCAATAACCTGTCCACACGTCGCTCCCACTCCTCCTCTCTCTTCTTCAGCACACTGGCAAACTTCCTATCAATAGCCAGGGCAGCGGATTCCTTCGCCTCGACGACGGATTCCAACCTCTCACGCTCACACTGTAGTTCTGCAACGCGCTGCTCCAAGGAGGCTGAAGCTGCGCGCAACTTACTGAGTTCGGAGTCAAGCTTTGTCTCGCGCGCTTGAGTGGCTGTGATAACGTTTTGGAACGTGCGAACTGTCTCCGCGTGCGAGTTGCGGAGCGTGGAGAAGGCTGTGGCATGAGCGGAGTGGACGTTATTTAATTCCGTTTCGTGAGATTTTAGGAGGGCGTCGTGGTTGATGTGACAGGAACAGGTAGCAGCTCCTGATGGTCCTGGTGCAGGCGACAATGGTGGGCTGGGTTGTTGTGGGATCATATTTTGTTCTTTGCGAAGATTTTCAAGGTCCAGGATAGCTTTGTCACGTTCTTGTGTGGTTTTGTATAGAGTGTCTTGCAATTTTGTCTGTTCGGATACGATCCCTTCTATCTTAGCGGAGAGACGGGATATTTCACGCTGCAGAACTGTATTGAGTGCTCGTGATTCAGAGAGCTCCTGCCGCGTGCCCTCCAGCTGCAGAGTTTGCATGCGGTCTGAAGGTAAAGAGTTTCGTAGATGTAATCGTGCTTCGCTAAGCTCTTTTTCCAATGCTCGAGCCCGCTCGGAGCTTTTGGTCGCCTCATTGACGGATGTGGTTTTTCTTGAATGATACGCCGCCTTGAGGGCATCGACAATTTGACTGAAGGAAGTATCATTGGTGCGGATATCAGCGGACACTTCGCTTGCAAGTATTTTGATCGCCTTGAATTGAGAATCAAGTGCTAGGTTTGCCACGTCCAATTCAGCCTGGATGGTATTGTTTTTTATTTCGGATTGGCGAACTGCTTTAAGGAGGCTCTCGGTTTTCTCTTCGAGGGCTTCACATTCACGGCTTACTGTCTCAAGTTCAGAATCCAACTTATCCATCTCGAGATACTGAGCGTCCTGATTAGCTCTCAGTTGGTCGATCTCCGCAGCATGTTTTTGGATTTGAGCATCTTTGTTCGAAATGGCCAGGCTCATTTTTAGAACGGTTTCATTATTTCCCTGCCGATCTTGTGTGGGATCTCCTTCACTTGTATTTGGTAGAGTACGACTCTGGATATCCTTGTCTCGCAATCGCTTCGATTCTTCCTGGAGAGATTTCAACTGCAAAGCATCAGTCTCAATTTTCTTCAGCTGGTCGTCTTTCTGTTGAAGTTGTGTTCGAAGGTTCTCTACTTCCTCATCGTGCGGGGATAGGGTTGATAAATGCGCATCCCTCTCCTTTAGGGCTGCATATTCCTTCTGGAGCTCTGACTGAAGATGTTGTATCTGTTGAGCTGCTGATGCTGCCTCCAAGACCCTCCTTTTATTTGTGTCGATAATTTCGTCCTTCTTACGCAGCTGCTGCCGAAGCTGCTCTATTTCTTCATGCAGTCGGTGCTCTTCAAAGGACTCAGCGACTTGCTGGGAAAGCTCTCGATCCGGTTGGGGTGATTTATTGGGCGGAGATTGAATCGAGGGCTCATCGATTTTATCCAGTGGCGCGCTATTTCTCGAAATCACGTTTCGTCGCGAAAGAACACGCGCTGGTGTCGACATATCAAGTGGCGCGCCCATCTCGCTATACTCGTTTATCGTGTGCTCTGCAACGACGGTATTGCTGCGCAATTCCTCCACGTCTTTCATCGGTCCCGGCTTTGACGCGTTATCTTCATTATTGGCTGGGAGGGAGTCTGTCCCTCTCACTAACTCCACCATGTTCAGAGTAAAATCCCGCGGACCTCGAAGCTCATGAAACGCAGCCGGTTTCTTCTTTGGAGAAGATTTTTCATTCTCATTACTTTCACCATTATTATTATCGCGATCAGATCCATAATCCGATAGTCTGCTCAGATCAAATGTATAATCCGAGAAATTGGCTTCTGAATCACTTCCGTCACTGGAATAAGGGGAACCTGAGGCTTTTGCATAACGGACTTTTCGTCGACGTGCAGCATTTGCAGAATTTGCAGCGGAGGCACGAGCTGAACTGGGCTTTTTAGTAGGTAGAATCAAATTCTGACTCGAATCCATTAGTCTAGGAGGTGATGAGGGCATGAAGACAGGAGTGTTGAGAAATGAGGCTCCAAGGGTGTCGTGGGATGTAGGGAACGGCGAGGTGAAGCCGTTGGAGGCCATTTTTGAGTGTCAGGTATCGTCGTGTGAATTATATCAATTGGTAAAGGGATGCCCTATATCATGGTTCCACAAGGTGATTCTCGCAATTCTACCATTAATAAAAAAAAATTAACTATGCGTAAAGTTCGTACCAACGCGATGGGGTAGTGCTGCATTCCAGGATTGTTGACAAAAACCCACTTTCGGCTTAGCTTTTGTCGAGAACATTAACTACGGCCCAACGTTAATCCGCCATAAAGCCGACTGCTATGTTCAACTCATAAATTAGGAACTGGAAATTGTTTTGCGGGGATATTTCTTTAGCTGAAAAGATTCCTACCTCAAAGCAAGGAAATTTATGCAGATTGAATTATCGGGGAACCCCCCTTATTTTAGTTAAATCATGGGGGGACGTAGAAGCTTAACAAAACGCCAATTTTGGAGTGAATCTGCGACTTTTAGGTTGGGTCAACACTACGCCCTCAGATTTATTTTGCTCAGGATTAACTACCTCAAGATAGTCTACTGAACAAACCCGGACTATGCTGGTAGAATTTATAAATTTAATGCATGACAACCTTTTCGAATATTCTGTAACCATTAAAGATTCCTGTGGGCACATAGAGACTAACGATTGCAAATGGATGGGGGTATTATTGCTACGTTTCTTGGTTTCGATAATGATGCATAAGTCATCGGCCACTTGCATGGATATCGGATGTAGAGGGATCCGTAAACCGCATCTTATAATGGCCGTCTAACTTCTTCTTAGGATCCAGTTATTGGCATGAAATTCTTTGCATCTTATCACGACTTAACCGCCCTACCCAACGATACAATGTCCAACAATAAAGAAAACAACAAACACGCTCAACAGAGGTGTACCTGAACTTTAGCCTCAAGGATAAAGTTTATATCGTCAACGGGGGCGCCGAGGGCTTGGGTTATGCATGGCCGAAGCAATGACGGAAACAGGTGCAGAAGGGTTGGTCACTAAAATATGCTCTCCTCGAAATTCAAACTTTGTTGATGAGGCGCTAACCTGTTGTTTGCCCTGGTTGCATTGTACTTGCGGAGTCCGATCCTGAATTTGTTAAATCACAAAAGCTTGAGGCTAATTCTCATGTTGGCTCACTGCATTACCATCATGTTGATGTGCAAAAGGCGAATTTCATCAACGAAACGATTGCAAATATCGCAGAAAGGCACCAGAGGATAGATGGTCCCGTGGTGGCCGCAGTTGTTCAACAAATCAAGCCAGCAATCGACTACACTGCCGAGGAAATCACGCGGATAATGGACGTAAACTAGTTATACGAGGACTTTAATGGCAGTGCAGGCAGTAGCCAAGCAAATGCTTGCATATAAAAACCAATGGCTCCATCATTCTGATCGCAAGCATGAGCGGACTTACCGCGAACCGGGGCTTGATTTTATCCGCATACAATGCTTCGAAAGCGGCGCTTATCCAGCTGGCAAGAAGCCTTGCAATGGAATGCGGCCCAAAAGGGATTCGTGTTAATTCGATCTCTCCTGAACACATCGTCAACCCAATGGTGGAGAAGAACTTTGAGGAAGCGCCTGGACTCGACAAGGGATGGGAGCAGGAAAACATGCTGGGACGGCTGTCGCTCCCGGAAGAGCTCACCGAAGAAACCATTTCCATGTTGAGCGATGCCAGCTCGTTCATGACGGGGACGAAAATAGTCATCGATTGAGGTCATACAGCTTGGTAGATAATCATGACTTGACTTTCCCATGTAAACACTGTCATGTAATGAACTTTTTATATAACTAGTTATTATCATAGTGCTTGATTCTCCTCTTTTATCGCTTTTTATTTTATTTTATTTATTTTTTATTTTTAAATATTTTTGTCCCGTTAAATACAATCGAGCGGAAGGATGAGCCCTGGACAGAATGACTCCAATGGGATTAACTAAATATTATAGAGCTTCGTATGGTTTGTTTCCAGGTTTTCATCCGTATTCCTCTCCGCCAAGGTGAGGAGCAGCGAACCCGAGGTTATTTCGCGCTCGCTGGCTGGCTTGGGTTTCCGCGTTATTTAAATATTCCATCAGAGACGTTCTAAACAAATGTCAAAACCAATCCATGACACCGCCCCCCGTACCTCAACCAAAAGCCCACATTTTCCTCTATAGGCGCGGGATCTATTCACATTCAGAAAAATCTAATCCGGAATACCAATTATGGAGTCACTTCTTCCTACAATCAATCTGCCCTTACCTATTCTCCTCCATGCCCTCGGCCTCACCGCCCTGGGCGTGTACCTGACATTTAACGGAGCACGTCCGACACTTGGCTTAGCATCTACTGGCCTGGGACTCGCATACCTGTCCACGTCATATATGCCGATTGAACTAAACCAATTCCTCCATGCCAGTGTACCGGTGCGCATGATATTGGCGGGATTAGCGGCTTTAAGGCTTCCGACTGCAAGAACCCAAGACCGTATGGCCCTGATCACGGTGACTCTGTATGATGCCCTGGGCGGATTGATCTTGGGATATACCCTGGGTAGGTGGGATGGCAAGGTACCGGGGTATTGATTAATGTAATATGCGGGGGAAGAATGGGTCTTGGATTAGGTTAAGGGAGGTTTATCAGCAGTCAACGTATTGTGGGTTTTGTTCTTAGTATATACCATCTCTGGAGAGGGCTGTTCATGTTCAGCACCAGAAAATGAAAGTATCATTGATCTAACAGGCTTATGGTTCTATACTCGAAAAAAAATAGATGCGGTTCACAATGTTATCGAAATATCAACAACTTGGTAGTGCATTAGTTATATTCTCGGTGATATTAGTCACGTGATAACAGTTTGTCCTCCCGCTGTTTCGTCCCCATCCATGCCTCATCTACACTCGAAATTTTAAGGCAAAGCAGAGAAAATTCCGTGCATGTGATGTTTTAAATGAGAATATCTTGTCGCCCAGCTGATGGCGGATGCGTGAAAAGAAGATAGGTAGCTATTTTCCAACGACGGTCTTGCCAACCATAACGGCGAGCCAGGGAGAGAAGATTGCCCACGACCACACCTGAATGCACATTATCACACGAACAATTGGTTATAGTGCGCGTGAATCAGTCGTGCTAATCAAGATTTTTTTGATTTCAATATTCCAATATATTTTAAGGAGGACGTCCATTCCTCATCGTGGAGTTGACTCATGCCTCCAATTCTCCGAAACAGCGCATCTGCACAACCTCGTGTTGTCTGCTATTACCAGACATATTACCCAAATAATGGCAATGAATACGTCTCAATGCTACCTCTGGTAGCGAACAGCTCTGGTATAACACATGTTATCCTTGCTGCGATCCATATCAATGCCAACCCAGGGAACATCACCCTCAATGACGATTCCCCGTATGATCCCCGCTATACAGCTCTATGGGCAGAAACAAAGTTTTTTCAAACCCGAGGGATCAAAGTCATGGGGATGTTAGGTGGAGCCTCGCAAGGAAGCTTTCAGCGCCTTGATCAAAACCCCTATTCCTTTGAGCGATATTATACTCCTCTCCGAGATATGATCCGACATCACGCGCTTGATGGATTAGACCTAGACGTGGAGGAGGATATGTCTCTTGAAGGTATTATTCGATTGATTGACCGTCTCAAGTCCGATTTCGGGGAACAATTCATTATCACGCTGGCTCCCGTTGCGACCGCCCTGATTGAGGGACTCCCCCACTTGTCGGGATTTAACTACAAAGCCCTTGAGGCCGCGCGAGGTTCGAAGATCGCATGGTATAATACCCAGTTTTACAATGGCTGGGGCGGCATCGAGAGTACGGAGGTATATGACCAGATAATGGCTGAGGGTTGGGCAGCAGCAAAAGTGGTGGTAGGGATTTTAACAAACCCTGGCAATGGGTCCCAGGGTTATGTGTCAATAGATAAGATGAGCTTTATTATAGGAATGTTGATGCTGAAATACCCAGATTTTGGGGGAATTATGGGCTGGGAATATTTCAATGCGTTGCCTGGAGGTGTGCAACGACCATGGCAATGGGCGGCTTGTATGTCTTTAACGATGGGGATGAGCACACTTTACTCAATGGTGGTGGAAGCCCAGTTTCTTTAGCAGCAACACGTAAATTTAATTTTCAAATTATTATGTTGTTTGATTTTTCATTTACTCCAGCCTAAATTGTTTTTACTACCGATTATTTAGAACAATGTGATAATGCTAAGTTCCCGCCCCTCGACTTGCTTCCCTATGCCATAATATTTGGTCTATCACCAAATCACGAAAAAGACACTGCACGGAACTCGGAGTGACATCAACCCCGCCGCTATTAAGAAGTACATAACCAGCAACCGGCGATTGATGCGGGAAACTGTGCAGATAAAAGAATTTTATCCCATGCGGACTCTCACTGTGGAACTATGGCTTCTTTCCGGACGTCCGTGGCCGCGACGAGCTCTGTTGTGACCAAGTTAATAGGCTATATATTTCTGCGATGGGTAACTACAGATACAAGCAATTTGATGTCTTTTTCGCGTTGGGAGTTCGTTCTGCTGACTGAATATATAAAATAGATTCCAGGTCACCATGGCCCGCCGCTGATCTTCACCTCCTTGCTAGTATACTTGACTTCAGTGTTTGTGATAGTCACAAACCCAACATTTAAACAACAGCAGAAGGAAAATAGCACCGTGAGGAATGCGCGGAAGCAGGACAAAACAACAAAGGGAAATCGACATTCAAGTGAAAATGGTGACAAGAATAAAACAACGAGAGGACAGTCGCCGTTGTCCGTGGTTTTGACCGGTATACCCTCCGCGAATGCTAAATACGCGAACGTGGCGACTATTGGGGTCAATATACTTGTGGGACTCTTCTCTCTCGATGTCCTTCTCCGGAGCCAATTTCTGAATGCTGGCGATGACCTGACCTTTTCACGGGTTGGATATGTATCGCCAACAACTGCCAAAATTCTCCTGCGCGAACCCGATGTAGGAAAGCTTCCTATCAACATCGCCTACCAGGAAATGCAAGACGGGCGGGTGGGCAAATTGATTGAAGCGGGAACAATAGATAATATATTAGAAGAGACGGATTACACTTATCCTGTGTCTTTGACCGGCCTTCAACCCTCGACAAAGTATCGATATTTGTTCTCAAATAACCAGTCCGGGGAATTTACCACAGCGCCCGCTCCAGGCTCTGAAGCTGCAAACAGAGTCACCTTCTTGAGCTCGAGTTGCATGAAGCCGAATTTTCCGTACAACCCCCTAAATCACCCGCTCCAGATCGCAGGCCTTGAATATCTTTCCAAGATCGTATCAAAGCTCCCTTCCATTCCCTCATTCATGCTCTTCCTAGGGGATTTCATCTACATTGACGTCCCATACCGATATGGCTCTTCCGTCGCCGACTACCGAAGCGAATACCGCAAAGTCTACGCTTCTCCTTCATGGCATGTGCAGCCGGAACCGCCAATCAACATCCCCTGGCTCCACACCCTCGACGATCATGAAATCGATAACAACTGGCACAAGGGGAACATCACACCCCCTTACCCAGCAGCATTTGACCCATACCGCCACTACCACATGAGCGTCAACCCTCCGATCCCCGAGCACCCCTTTGCTATCCCTTCTAACACTACCTACTTCTCCTTCACCCACGGGCCCCGCCGCCATCTTTATGGTGGATACTCGCACATACCGCTCAGAACCGCAACAAGAAAATTCCACGATGCTTGGTTCGGCACAGCTTGCCTCTCTGCTTACCTTCATTTCCCGCCGAGAGCCTGCAGGTGTGAGATGGAAAATAATCACGAGTGGCGTGCCGTTTACCAAAAATTGGCGCATCGGGACGGAAGATACTTGGGGAGGTTTCTTGGTTGAACGGCGCAAGATCTTCGAAGCTATCTGGCGGACCGAGAGGGAACAGAGGATCCGCGTAGTGCTCCTGAGTGGCGACAGACATGAATTTGGCGCGACAAGGTTTCCTGACCCAACTCTAGCAAAAGCAGCGGCAGATAGCAATGATTCACATGGTCATGACAGCAACATGGGTATCCATGAGTTCTGCACGGGTCCGCTTAGCATGTTCTATGTTCCCGTAGACTCCTACGTGCAGACGGACGATGAGGATGTTATGATCAAGTACTATCCCGCTGGCA